CCCCCCCCCCCGACCTCAGAATCTCGTTTTCTCCTGAATATCCGCCTACATACTGTCTTGCCAATGTTAACCCAACGAAGCCTGTTTGACCGACTGCCCGATGAAGACCGGTTGTTGTACGCCATCACTCAGCATGACACCACCTACATACAGACTGACTACCATCCACGGTACTAGCTAGAACCGTTCTCTTCTCCTTAGGGAATCTAGTCTTCTTGTTTGTAAATTCATTCTCCACAATGAATCACGTACTGCCGCGTGCTGAATAATGTTCAATTCAATTCATTTCAGTTGACGGAATATTAGTGGCTAAACCCAATAAAATATCCACACTCCTGCACCCCAAGTCAATTTAGGACAATTTTATGCGGTCGATGTTGGATTTTCATCATAACAGTCACAGCGGTGTCAAATGATCATATACGTAAAGCCTCTCAAAAGTGAGCACAACTGAACAGATTGGGGAAAAGAGGATTAGTCAAGCAAGTTACTTCGGTCAACGAGATATTGAGCCATATAAGGGAGAACAGGGCTCAGTTAGGGCTGACAATAACTTAAATCCGAATTGTGTTCCAAAAGTAGAAGTGGCTTTAGACAACATGGTGTGAGGTGGGTGTTAAGTATCCGTAAAATCTTCATACGAGAATTCATGCGAACATCAGTGTATTTTTCGACCAGGAAGTTGACAGGGATGCTCCTTGAAATTCCACCGTCTAAGAACATGCTGTGGCGACCTCAAGGAGTTCCGGGAACGTAGCGAAGGGGGAATGCATCCACTGCTGAAGGACAAATGTGATCATAAACCTCCTAGTTTTATTACATCGATAGCAGTCCTAGTCACGGGACTTTGGTGAAGACTGCTTCACTATGAGGGAACCATTTGGGACTTCCAGAGTTCCTCCCAAACACTTCCAATCGCTGACTTTTTACATGGGAACTTCGTCGGTTAGGAAGCAAGTTCCGATGTTACCTAAGTGGAATTACTGCACATAACTTGCCGTCGCATTTAAAGACGTTGCGGGATAGACAGCGCCCATGGGTTTAATTTTAAATGTGTTTCGGGACTGAATGCGGTCACCACCCCGTTGGATGAGTTAATCAGGAAACAACATGCAACTGATATGAGAGGGGAAAGAAATGAGTTAATGGAGATCCTTGGAGCATATTGAGGAGGGGATTACGCGTTCAACCATCTAGGCTCGTAAATTGTGTCCGGTCTACCCGTTCGAGTGCTCCCCTAGTGCTGACCCAGTCCAGTTTTTCCTCAACTATTCGCGCCAGGTCGGGAGTAGGGCCGTTCGTATTTCCAAATTAATTAGTCTACTTATTTAGAGACGTAGTGTTCACAGACTGTAGGCATAACCCTCAATGAATACGACATTTAAAATCAGTGGAGTAGCCTCATCTCAAGAAATGAGTGAATGTGGTTTTTTCCGAATGAGCTATTTTTCCATACTCCGTCCCAATCGTTGGTGTGAAAATTACGAGGCCCGAAACTGATATGATTCCTGAGGAAATACGGTCTACTCTGTACAGCATTTCGGTTCGTGAATTTACTGAAATGTGTCCGGAACGTCGCGGAACTTCGTGTATAGGTTTATTGAGTTCAAGAAACATCGTCCTGTTCAGTGTGGAAGTTTGTTCGCCCTTATCCTGTTGCACTGTCACAACTGTTAATTTGCATTGTGACAGACATTACTCTCACATTGGCCTCCACGCTATTTAGAGTTAGCAGGAAGGGTGATGAAAATCCTTTTAGATTGTTGGTCAATACGCTTGAGATAAAGCTAGGACTGTGAACCGCTTGCTTTTACTACTCGCGAAACCGTTTGATTAGCCGAAAATCGATGCTCCTGAATTCGTGGAAGTCCGTTAAATTACACTCACAAGCCGTTCAAATCATCTCATGGCTATTCGGAAGTCATCTTCCCCCATTTGTATCCTACTTCAGTGGCGTGAAAAGCGCCATCACCACAAACTCCGAGCCGAGTGGAACTGTGAATGTTACAAGCCCTGCCACTACGACCCTGAAAGATTCACAACCCCCAGCAGAACCAGCTTCACATCACCTGTCTACTTCGGTTTGCCATGACGACGATGGGGACAGTATGGAAATGTCGGATGACGATGAACCTGCAGAGCTAAAAGAAGCTGCGGACCAGAATCGCAAGCCGGCTGAGCTGGTGTTAGAAGCTGGTCCGCTGGACCCATCCGCTGTCGACACTGGGGACCGGGACTGGCGTCTGCTCACAAAACCACTTGCCAAATCCAAATCAGCTCCGGTGAGTGTTCTTTTTTGTTTTCTCTTGCTCACTTTCTACGCACTTATTTGTTTGTTCGATTCCTTATGGAGAAGTTAGTGCAGTTAGGTCCGTAAAATCGATCTCTAAAAGTATACTTTTAGTTGAGACACACTCCACCCGCTCAAAGGTTGGTCATGACTGCCAGAGAACTATAGTTAAAACTTGCAAAGTGACTGACGCCGCTCCAAACTCATCCGCAATCCGCAGCAGCATCCCGAATTAGGCATCTACATCTTAGTCCGTGCGTCTTTGGGCTAAGACCTCCCTCTGAAGCCGAACAGCTCAGTGTTGAATCATCGTTTCCGGGTAGAATCCTTCGGGAAAACTCTGACAATCGCTACATTACGGATTAGAGGCTTGGGACAGGACCCCTGGACAAAACCCTACATCCTTCCACTACCCCGTTTCTCAAACTTTTGAGTCAAAGACTCAAGGTGGAGTACACAAGGCTTCTTTTTCTCTTGCTCACTTTCTACGCACTTATTTGTTTGTTCGATTCCTTATGGAGAAGTTAGTGCAGTTAGGTCCGTAAAATCGATCTCTAAAAGTATACTTTTAGTTGAGACACACTCCACCCGCTCAAAGGTTGGTCATGACTGCCAGAGAACTATAGTTAAAACTTGCAAAGTGACTGACGCCGCTCCAAACTCATCCGCAATCCGCAGCAGCATCCCGAATTAGGCATCTACATCTTAGTCCGTGCGTCTTTGGGCTAAGACCTCCCTCTGAAGCCGAACAGCTCAGTGTTGAATCATCGTTTCCGGGTAGAATCCTTCGGGAAAACTCTGACAATCGCTACATTACGGATTAGAGGCTTGGGACAGGACCCCTGGACAAAACCCTACATCCTTCCACTACCCCGTTTCTCAAACTTTTGAGTCAAAGACTCAAGGTGGAGTACACCAGTCAAGGCTTCTTGGGCTTCGGCATCCAGGAAGTATCCTTTACCCTTACCGTCTTTTCACCGACTCTTTTTTTCGTACACTTGTCAGTTAAGTCTTTTTGATTCATTTAACCGCCAACCACTTGACTGTTGCCCCATACTCAAAGGTCTACCCAGTAAAATAAATCTTTATTAAGTTGGATGGACCTGCTCCACATTGTAGCTTTTGACGTCCGTACTCTGTGATAAGTTGGTCAACAGGTCAGATTTTGTTTTATGTTTCGGTCGATGTGTGTTATTTCTCCAAAAGGCGCATACAAAGCCCCAGCTCGATCACACGTCTCACATCGCTCGGGGCAAACCCATATTTCTGGTCATCCTGATGAAGTGATTTCTGGTATACATGGCCTTGGAGTTGTGTTTGGTCCCGGGGTCCAGTGCATCATCATCACCGTTGACAGAAATACCAAGCGAAGACACTGGTACTTCATTGTCGCAAGAGGTAACTGATTTGAGGTTGATGCTCACTCACAGGTAGTGGGAGCAACTTTTTGAGTTGTGCTGAACTTCGTTTATTTCCAGTCAGCACAAACTTTCAGCACGAGCGCTCAAATCGTTTTACCTGGAGACCACCAATTGCAAACCAGCCGAGGACTCAGTTGGATCATGTGGCAATCAGCTATTGATAGAGGGCTTTAGTGAAGAATAGTAAACTTGGGAGTATATATCTTGTCTTGGAGCACGGCACTGTGCGTGCAGGCCTATCTATTTGCCTTCCTTCGGCGACACTTCGGTTGATTCAAGATTTTTCAGTTCACTACTTACAGAGTGCCTCTGTAGCCCAACACTGTCGCATTGAGTTGATCGAAAAGCTCCCAGGACTACATGGGTCCAATGGCAATAATGATCATTTTGTTGATGATTAGAGGAAGGTGGAAGGAGCCATGCTCACAGCTTTCTACACTGTAGGCCAAGTACTGTACAGCCCGCTTAGCTTCTTCTTACGTTACAAATGGTATGCTCAGGGTATATACCCACCGGAGCGTGACCGTACACTTCGTAGTTTCAATGCTGGTGTCAAAGACTCTAGCGATAAATGTGCGCACTTCATTCTGAAGAAATGAAAAAAATCTTCCGCGTATTCTACTTCGAGAAGGCCCTTATCGGTACCAATGTGAATTTTAGGGTTTTAGAAACCTTCAACTGCTCGTATCATTACGACATCACTATCGAGTGCCACAGAAAACGTTGAGTCTGTATGAAACTCTTTTAGACAGCTTCACATACATGATCACACGCCCGTGAGTGCGTGGGGCATACTAAATTGACGAGCACTTCCTGTTTAGTAGAACTGACCAGTCTACAGAATCGAACGCAAAATGCAAACCAAGGGTCCTGTCGGTGTAAAACAATCCGATTAGAACAAACTGACGAACGAAGTTTTTCGGGAAATATCTCTCTGACCAATACAATTGCAAGTTATAGGAAAATATCGATCGCCTTGAAACGACCATCAATAAACGAAGCACTTTCATAGCTTATCCAGGCTCGCTCCGGGTCAGTCGACCGTGAAATTCAAATTCAAATCCGCCTTCATGCAAGCGTCAGTGCAGCCCCTTAATCGATCTGTAAATCGTTCTTTGTTTTAGGCTGACCAAAAACGCCTGTTCGTCAGCTTGTGCTCTACGAAGTTGTGAGAATCCCTGGTTTGCTTCAAATCCGATTGGATACTTTAGGTCGCCTCGCTTTGACAACGGGATGCATATAGCTGATAACTGTGCAGCTTCACCTTTACTCATAGTTGGTTCTCTCCAGTGAGACCATACCCTCGCCCAATCTTGCTCTCAATAGCTGTAAATTTCACAACAGAATTTGATAGCGACTTTTAAGAACAAACCATGAAGCTAAGATGACTGAAGTGTTGACGATATTGTTCATATCCTGAAGTTATTCAATATTGGCTGATTCTATGAATCTTTCCTGCATCCTAAAGGATGCCATCTGTGGTCGATATTTTTGGATGTGTGATTCTGTGTTAGAGTTTACTATTATCGCTTTCACTTTGGCCTAGCCCCATTGTGTTCCTCTCCCTGTTTTTCACAGCCCTGCAAACCTGTGTTTGATCATTCCACTATTCCATCAGCACCTATTCGGGTGGACCCGTGGCGCTCACGGTTTCCACAGCCGCCAGCATACTTGCCGGGATCGGTGCCTCAACCGCCTAATCCGTTTACACTGAGTCCAGCTATTCCAATCCCCCCTCCACCACCACCACCCAAATTTATCAGACTTTCTCACACTGATCAGATCTCTCAGGCGCCACGTTTTTCCAGCCCTTCCATCTCTGAGCCTCGACTCCCACCTCCACACCACCCACCACCTCCGCCTCCCGTCAGCATGAACAACTTGTCAACGGTGCACTTTGCACCGGGTCCACGACTGCCTGGGGGTGTCACACCATCTTTCCCGAAACTTCACTCAGAGCATAGCCTTCCCTTCCCTCGCCCCACCGCGGCCAATCATCCCAGTCCGATAAATCGCGAGCCACTTCCAGTTGTCCAAGGGGAACAATCGCCCGCTGTTCCTGTATCTTCAGAGTCTCGTTGCTCACCCGTCTCCATGTTCGGTCCGTCTGACTCCGATGATCGACTATTGCCGGCAAAAATAGAACCTTCTCCTGCCACCACACCTCAGGAAGAAGTGGGCACCAACGTCAAATCCGTGGTTGAGTCCGATTCGACTTCAGTGACCGTCGCAGGCTTCAACGAACCTCCCAGTACTCAGAACCAAATGGATATAGAAGATCCGTTTGCTGTCATTTCACGACTCACAGGATTGTCCAACTTAGTTAAAAGGTAATCCGGTATTCATTCTGATGCGTTGCATCCTGCGACTACCATACCAAAGGTATATCAATATTAATTTTGAATATCTTATGGGAAACTGGAGACACTGCATTCATAATTGTCACTGAAAACTCGAAAACTGATAGATCAGAATTTTTAGGTGTTTTCTCAAGGTCGTTACGTATCTGAGGAATTTCCACAATATATAGCAAATTAGCAAACTGCCGATGCGATCAAATTAAAAATGCAAGACGTGCTTATTGAATGAAAACGCTAGAATCTCACTTATCCGTCCTCACGGCATTCGGTCACATAAGGCGAAGACTGGCAATCCAGCGTGCATCATACGGTGTCGCATTACTGAATCGATACGGCCTCGGTAATGGCCAGACAAACAGCGTTGTCTACAGTAGACTTAGTGGTGTTGGGCATATAACTGCAAATACATTATCTGGATTGGTCATGTGTCCCTCAACGCTTATATATGCGGTCATAGCTCTTGTAATGTGTTTCTTTGCTCCACCCCCTGCATATTTTTTGTAGCAAATGCCTTGTTATTTACTGAGAGCGTTTGAGCTCCCGCTCGGTCTGACAAAGGAAGGGCACTTCTTTCAAGAATCCTCGTTGATTGAACGCAAAGGAAGACAAATACGTGAAAATTAGGCTGTGAACAGTTCACACCTTCACTCTTTGGCAGACTCTGGGACAGAGATATCGCTTCCGTTAACCAAGCATAGTAAGCCTCCTTGATTTGAAAACTGCATTCCACTTGGTTGATCGACGGACAATGTCAATCCACCCTTGGTATTCCTCCGTTAATCTCTGACCGCCTTAAAAGCGTTGTACGCTAACTACAATGAATACCTGAAAATTGATGACAAATTCCCGTCTGTACCCACAACATCCACTGTTGTCCAGCAAGTTTGGCTACTGTCCCCTTTCCCTACACTTTCTTCGATATGAGAAGACTCCTTACAAGGTTCCTCAGGATCGAAATGTGCCTAAGGCGTTCTGCCACAGACATCGGCTATGAAGAGGATCTCGCCCCATTGGAGTACAATTAATGTCAAATAACCTGAATCCTCCTGGTGCGACTCTCGGACGTGCTTCGCATCTGCATAATGTAGGATGCTTCTGCAAAGCTGGGTAGGGTCAAACCCGAACCTCATGCTTGCAGATAGTCCGGTTGATAAGGTGAACGGATTTGTTACATGAACAATCGTATCAGTCCAGTTAGTCCAGCTAAGAGCCTTGCTGCCATCCAGATGGGAAAGGTTAGAGCAACCTTTGCTAATCTGCATAGATGCGATACCAGTTGGTCTGATAATAGCTGAGTTCACAGTGTTGCAGTCCATTCCCAAAATCTGACCATTGCGACCTTAAAAATGTCTAGTGCTTGACCGTCAGAGCAGTTGGCGAGTTTGGCAGGAACAGTGGATCCGTATTACCAAAGCACGTCGCCTAATGTTTGGAGGAGGTGATTTCCACACGATCGATGGGCTGATGATAGTTCTTGGGTTTTATGCTTGTGTCATACGCTCCCCGTATGTCAGTGCATTAACTTCTCCAGATAGCCTTTTCGCGCGAGAAGACAGACAGTGTAACGAGCGACGGTCGGGTGAGGGATGTCTTAACAGCAATGCACGAATGTCACTCAGAGGACCCGGCTGTTTCGCTAACTGTCATCTTGCACAGAGATCCCGAAATTCGATGGCCCAGTCGCGTGCTCAAATGTGCATATGTATTTCCGTGCATAGCTTCTTCCCGGTTCTCCTAACTGGACAAAAAACACCGCTCCCCTTCGATTCACCCGTCAAAAGTTCCAGTTGTTACCTCGAATGAGTAGCTATCCATTGGATATAGATCATGTGGCTGTTCACCTTTTGTATGCATTACTGCGTCCNATATAGATCATGTGGCTGTTCACCTTTTGTATGCATTCCTGCGTCCCATTCCTGTTATCCCATTCCCTCCAATACGAACTTCGAATGGTAGTTTATATAATGAACACCCAAATGGCTGAGCCTCGCATTCATGGCTACCGACTCATTGTATATCTGTTTGTATTTATGATCGTTACAATTGAACGTCCCAGTGTGGGAAAGTTGATCTTTCATTGAATCGAACATGATGGTCGGAAATTCATCTAACCGTGCCGCTCACTTGGTTACGAGCCAAGCACTGAAGGTCTCTGTGCTTAACACATGTCCAAAGTGGCTCCACTCCGTATGTACTCGTTTGTTGACCCGTGACCATCTGTGTCTGACTGTAGCGGGGTTCGCGCACACCTTGTTTTGTGTTTACCATAATACCGTAACTAACTACCCTCTAAGTGCTGGTCTGTGTGAGCCCGGAATCCCACTCTCCATACTGCACTATGTTCTATATATAGTACTTACGTTTGGAGCTGTGTAAATTAAATGGCCGCCATTCCATTCCTACTTGTGACATTTTTCACTTTGTGAAGCGATACATTTGTGTGATATTGAAATTTTTTTTAGCTGTTTTCGGTACACTATTTGCACGTGCAGGATGGCTGTGAGTGGTATTGGTTAAGTGGTGATGGTGGTGGTGGGGGGGAATTACGACCCCATTTGGTGGCCACCGATCGGAATGTCCAGATATTTGTTAAACGACTATCAAGACGCAAGTTTCACATCTACCATCAGAAAGTCCCTTCGTTTATAACTTTAGTGCTTATCTACAACGAAACATTTGTTTTTGCCACTCCATTAGCCTCTCCGCCAAAAATGAAACTAGCTCAACAACCTCTTCAACTGTTGGGCAAGCGGTGCCTCACTACAGTCCAAGCGGCACGACAGATTCTACACCGAAGGTGCAGCAGCCCCTCGCCACTAAATCGACGGACTGTGACATGCGACAGACTCCACAGACGGAGCCCGTGACAGTTCAGCGACTACTGGAGACGTTCGGACTCCGACGATCTGCGGAACAACCTTCATCGTCTTCAAATTCAAACGGAGAGCAGCATTCAAATGGAGCAACATTGACAAACCCCTCGGTGTCCGCTCCTATCATTGCTAGTGTTAACCAAACGCCAGTGCTCAGTCCTCAGTCAAACTCACCAAGTGATGTAGAAGTTATCGAGTCGTTCACACAGTCGGCCAATGAGGGTAGTTCACCCAGTGGCGGTGAAACACCTACTCAAGATGAGCATGGTGAAAACCATACAGACGCTCCTCTACCAGGTGAGTTTTTCACAATAGAGCCTTTGGTGTGGTCGCTGTCATGACCACTTTCGACCCGGAAATAGCTAGAATGTGATTAAAAGTTGTGTTTGGTACCCCCCTAAATTCAAGCTATGCGAGGCCTTCCAGCGTTATCCGGGCTCACCAGCCGTTCATTAATGTAACTCGCCTGAATGCGAATCATTGATGATGACATTGTGATGTTTCCTTCCGGTGGTTCCATACTACACCATTTCGAATTCAGCTGAAGGATTTATAAATAAAACAGCGGGAATAACAACTTCGACAGCATGAAAACCAATCGCAATACTATTACGGATTGCCCACTAATTCGTTACCACCAGTAAAACCAAGCCACTGCTTCATCCCGATTGGGATACACAGAACACTCGTGCGGACAGTATAGGAAAACCAGAGTAGCGGCATTGCATTGATTCAGTGACCTAAACCCGATACCTAAGTTTTCTTTCAGCTAATGTTTCATTGTCCACCAATACCTTCGCCTCGTGTGCAGTGTGGGTGCTCCCTGATGAACGCGCTCTCTAAGCCGCGGGCGTCGGTTGACACTGAGCTCGATAGACAATTGACTGTCCCTTGATGTACTTCACCTCCTTATGTTCCTCAGCTAACTCCAGCTTCTTCTGTGTTGTGTTGTGACCATTATAGATTAAGCCTCTCTCTTTTCTGTCTCGTGTAGTCAGTCTCGCCAACTTGCTTTTACCCAAACCCAGTACGGGTTCTGTCACCGGTACTCCGCTGTTCGCAATGCCAGAGCATTTGTCGTCCATCAGTTCACCTGTGGCGCAGCCGACTTCCGGTTCTGTTGGAATACCTGTATCGTCGCATGACGCGGTCAACGTCACATCGGTCAATCCTTCAAATTCTCCAATGACACTCCCGAACAACATATTCGGTCCGCCCAGCAGTTGGAGTCGACTCCCTATGGTTGGAACTCCAAGTCTGGTATCCCTGCCATTTGCAGTAAGTATTGATGATTGATTGTCGGCTAAAACGACTAGGCGAACTTTTTCGTTGAGCAGATTAACTGGGAGGAAGTAGGATCCTCCAGACCCGTAGCCATAGCGTACCCAACTAAAAAGTCAGGTTTCTGCAACTACTGTCAGAAGAAACCTCATGGACGTACGCTGACACCATTTAAAAAACCTCAGGTTTTCACTCAGCGGCCGGTCATCGCGCTGTGCGTATCATAGACTCTGGGTAATCCATGCGGTAGGTATGGTTTAGAACGTTTGTCAAAAATCAGCAGTAGTAGTGCTCGTCTCAGGAATCTTTATGATGGTCTAGACACGCGATTTTCCGGAAGGGGGGCTTTTAAAGTTTCATTTTTTTCCTCCATCTCAAGGCAAGTCAACATGTGAGCAGCTTATGATTCCAGTGGAAGACTGCAAGCTAAAATGTTTCCTAAAGACAGTCCTCACTGCACGTCAATTATATGTGTCGGTTTGGCTCTGTTCCTATTCGACCTAATTGAATCCATTACGTAACGACGGGGACACTAGGAACACTCCTGTAAACATGCGCCGGTAGCTCTTAAAGGGTCGTTGTCCCATTTGGGATCCTGATACCAACATTGTTTCAAATTTGAACACCCCTCGCAATTTCATCTCTTTTGAGTGGCTCCAGTTGAAGTTCTCTTGAACTTACAAATATGCGAGACCTTTCGAAAATCCTATCAGCTCACGGCATCCCCCTTTCTATACGATTATACCGGATCCGGCATTCAGGCTTTAAACAGAACATTTTCAACATCAAACTAGAAGGACTAAGTGTTTTTAACTGTTTTTTCTTCATATTTCGGTACCAAGCAGTCGTCACCCGGGTTGCCTGAGCGGTACCTTGAAACTGAGCTGAATTATCATGGTATCACTTTCGAAACTTTTTGTCGTGGCATCTCTGAGCAATGTTTCTACCTCTTACAGCAAATTTCCACATCCAGCGTTAGCCCTCAAAGAGCCCCAATTTCCACTGTGTCGTCAACTTTCTCACCTGTCGTTTCTGGCACTGCCCAACAAATCTACTTACTCCAGTCCAGCCAACAGCAGCAAATCAATTCTATAGCAGCCGGGTTGGCCCATGGCGCGCCTAGCTTATGGCACAGCTTCACTTCACCCCTCCTACCACCTACCACATTTGCCAGTTTTCTTCCAACTGGTCAGCAACCCCCACAACCAAGTCTACTCAATCTTCAGCTGTTTAATCGACCGCGACCCCCAAACTCTTAATGTACCACTGGGGGGAGGTATGCGACGTCCCATCAGCCAATCACAGATATATTCGCCTACGTGTATTTTCTACTCTCCATCCACGGACACGGACAACACGTTTGCTCTGGCCTCCCCTTTCAAAGCCCCACGTCTACTCCCTTCGTGCGTGCTGTGGCTTATTTGTACACAATGACCTATTCCCCTGGTCTGCATTCTATGCTTTTGTCCACCACCTACTACTTTGCGTTAGATAAAATTCTGCACCTGAATCTGTCTACATCTGTCGTTCGGGGGAGGGGCTATATTGATTATTAACTTCTTTCGACCAACCAAGATAAGTGTGAGAGAATGGACAACAACAGGCCTATCTCGCACCGTATGCGCTTGAGGGCAGTTATCGAGATAGCATCTTATGGAAAGTAATGCTGGACTTCCACAATGAGGCGGTTAAGTCAAAATTCCTTTACTCCACACGAAAAGACTCAATATGACCTTTTGAATTAGGTTCTGGACGATTCTGTCCGAAGGCACTGAGACTGCAAGACCGAACTAAGAAAGTTCACTGAATCTATCACTTGATCGCCACGTCCAGTAACAAGTCTACGGTGTTTTTACCTAAAACTATGTAAATCTCAGTGCATAGGACGCCAGCATAGATGCTCATGAATTCTTATAGCTAAGCAGCTAAGCGACGTATAACCACAACATCGATAACGACAAGTGTGTGTACTCCCATGTCATTTGTGTCTATGGGAAAATACGCAAGTCCCGTACGAGAATCAGAAGTAAACAGTTTGAATGTAGGCGAGTGTGTAGCTGGCAGATCTAGTACTTGGGCTATTACGGGGGCATGAGCCAACTCAACTGAGGTCTGAAATCGAATCGATACACAGGCGATGGCGGCAAACAACCCCCCAGCAGCGTATCCCATTCTGTTAAACTTGTACCGATCGAAACAAGCGCATGTCTGTTCAACGTCCAACTTCATCCGAACGAAGTTACGCGGAAAAAAGGACTATTGAATGATAAGAAGAATTTCATAGGGTGGATTGATGAAGGGACTCATGTGGTTTCAAATCAAGCTAAATCTTCAGTGCCGGGAAAGGAACCAGAAAATGGAACAAAAAAATAACTGGAGGGCGTCATTGTTAGTTAGGCTAAAACTTTGAAACACTAGATGTAGTGAACACCGGGACAGATCAGAGCTCAGGACGATGAGTTTTGTCTTCAGGATAGATAGTGTACGCTGATTCGTAAACCACAGGCCATGCGGTCAGTGGCTCGCAGCTATTAGGTGCCGCCGCGGTCGTTTCGGATCCACCGTACAAGCGTACACCGTTCTCTGGGCAGATTGTGTTGTACGTGGAGAAGAGCGGAAAGCCCATAATTGTGCGCTCCTCAGCAATGCGGAAAGTAAAGGTAGAGGGATTGGTTCCAAGGAAAAATCTGCAGGAGGGAAGACAACGGTTGTAAAAGCACACCAAAAAGAACCGGATTCAAGTCGGTGCAACCTGGTGAATGATGTCAGGGTCGTTGACCGAGAACTGCCAACCTGACATGCGTTCAACAAAGTAGTTCAAGAGTTATCAAGAAACGATTAAAATTCATTATTTTGCGGTAAACACGACATGGACAATCCATCTAGGTAGGTGATATCTCAAAGACTTATCTGAGAATGAGGATGCGAAACTACGAAGCGAGCTTTCAGGCGAAAACGATGTGCACCAGTGACTGTCATGTAGTGTGACTTAAAGACCTAATAGGAAGATTTCTCACAATAGTGGGTCTAACTGGCCGTGAAGGCTACCGTTTCTCCAATCTGAGGTACTAACGTGCACTACAGATATCTCATGTTAGTAGTAGCTGTCTTGATACCATTCCAGTTTGATCCAAACACCTCATTTTACACAAGCGATTATGCGACGTGATTTAAACCTAAGGCTAACTAGGAACTTTTCGTTTTGGTATTGGGCAGTTGATCGCTGAGTTCGGGTTACCACGTGATTGAAGATCCGTTTGAAATGTCATTGCGATTCGGTAAACAAGCCCAGTTGAGCGACAAACCGGACGAATTCATTTTTGTTTTGACCCTGAGGAAGCCGTTGAACAACACAAGCAGCTTATTATTTGAGTGCATAAACGTTCATATTCTCTTCTGACTGCTCTGGTTACATAACAGAAGGTTTAATGTACTCAGAAAGTAAAGTACCAACAAGGCTATACACGAGAACTCAACTAAAAGGTATTGAGGGCGTACGAATATAGTGCATTGGCAGGGACATTTGGAACAAACGGTCGGTCGCAAGTAGGCAGGGCAGAGAACAACACCATTGATATAAGCTCCAGTAAATTTCTACACAAATTTGAAAATGTTGCCTGGCAAGGTGTAAGCAATAGCGGTCAAAAGGCTTTTCAAAAATCTGCCAGGCCCGTCAGAGGGTTCACAAACTGCCAAATCAACTATGACTGACAACTACACTATATCTAAATAGGCGCAAAAACATGGTATATTTCCTTTTTCTCCGATGGACGAAAAACAGCGAGCAGCACGGTTCAAAATAAAGGAGATCTCAGGTTGGCACGTGTCTCAGTCCCATAGAATAAAAAGAAAGCTTCCCAACCTTACGGAACAAGTGTGACGTTCAGGTAAAATCGTGACACCACGTGGTGCCGGGGTACATGGCTGGCGTTCTAGACAATAATGGAGTTTGGAGTGTGTGGTGTAAGAAACCATCTGTCTGTCGTAAAGATAAAGGGTAAATCGATACACTCCGGTATGTTCACTCTAAAACAACGGCGTAAAGACCAGTCCTGAAGTTTAGTAAGTCTGCTCACAAGGAGATTCAAATGCGAATGACCGGATAGCGGGTAGTCGACAGTAGTGTCATCTGCGGGGTCGATGAAATCTGGTTCTTTGGAAATTTGCTGAGCCTTTATAGAGGACACCACCGAAAATAGCCGCAGCACAATTCTCCTAGCAAGTTTCTAAACCATTCATACAGTCTAAAAATAAAAATCGGACCGCTCCTCATGCATGGCAAACACATCGGGGTAACAGGACACATAATGGAAGCTAAGCTTAAGTGTCGGATGTAACCATTCGTACACTAATTGCACTGCATTGTATGAGTTCATCCTTGTGGCCGAGAGCAAACCGATCAGTCGTTGGTTACAACTATCTCTCTTCGAAAATTCTGTTAAGCGCACGGAGCTCTGTCAGTCGGACAGCAAAAACAAATCGAGCAATGGAAAGTGGAGAACTGAGACAGCATGGATACATGTATCGTTGTGACAACCGGGGATAGTTGACTTCCTGTTTTATCAGGCAAGATGGACGCTTTATCTCTTCTTTCTGAACAGCCTTGTACATGCCCTCCTGTGCTGTCTGCAGCCGGGATAGATGCTTTCAGTAAGACCAGTATCTATCAAAACCGGACTCGATATTGTCGGTTGGATGCTTACAGTATGAGGAGGCATCAACCTGAGAGTAAGTGAAAAGCCGTTAAAAGCAACCACGCCTCTTAAGTAGACAGGGTTCTTGAATTTGTAAACTCCGTCTATGTATGCTATGATCTGGAATGCCGAACATCAGTATAAATGTCAAAGGTGCTGATTTGTGTTCATTTTTTGGTAGAAGAGTAGCCAGAGCTGCTAAAAAATGAATCAAGTTGAGCTGCGATTCAGACAGAGAAGTTGACATGATTTCGTAAACTCAGAGATATTCAAAAAGTGCAAAATGTATTCAGGTTGCCTATGGCAAATCACAAAAAGTTATCACGGGAGGTGACGAGACTGATGGAAGCTTCAGGCCGGAAGTGGGAGCATTGAGGAGTGAATATCGGCCAGAACGATGTATTCAAAACTATGAACTTTGTAGAGACGCAATACACTACTCACAAGGTCACTGAAAACTCTTTGACAGCCCACTACCACTCTCGTCTTCTTTGGGGCTCATTAGGTCGGCGCAGTCCCTGAGATTATCTCGACCTTATGTTCTGCTTGAACCCAAATCACACGAAATCAGACGAATGCACTCACTTGCGTACCAATTTAGTTTTCACGGATATGAAGAACACCATGAACGAGAGATTCGGCTGGGATTCAGGTAAGTCTCTCGTGAAAGCCACATTGGTGTGCAAGGGAGTGTGTGGGCCGAATAACCATGAATACTGCTTTACACTGAATGGACCACAAAACAATTCTTACTAGTGGGATTTCACAACACATTATCTTTTGAACAAAGTTGCAACAGTGACTGACTGGTTATCGTGACTATCCTGTTGCTCTTCTTGGCTAAGACGGTGGATGAGGGCTACTAGTCAACCTCGTGCTGATTTCTGGCAACTGGAACATGGTACTCCCCTATATTCTTCTCTGTCGATGACAGTATTCCCCATTACAACCTCGGTCGTGTCCTGGTCGCATTTCCGCACCTGGGTGTGCCTCTGAGGGAGAGGTTTCAGATGGATGGCGCACTTAGTTCTTCGAATCCCCGGTATGCACTTCGCTAGTGTTTGACCTGGCTTGCTGGATGAAATAGCGGAAGGTATAAAAGCATCCCTGAATCCCACTCACTTCGTTTTCGACTCAAGAACAAGGTTTAGTAATAGGATCCCCAATGGGATCCCCGATTTTGGAGATTATATTTCTAGAGGAATTTAAACAGAAAGCTCTAGGCGCATTCCCATACCCACCCAAGGTATTCTGGCGTTATGTGGATGACACCTTCGTCGTGATGAAACGAAACAAGGTTAGTGAGTTTTACAACTATCCGAATGAACTGAGTTCACACATCAAATTTAGTATGGAGATAGAGTCAATCTCGGGTAAAATGACCTTTTTAGACTGCATGACACGCAAGGTCGGAGGAAAACTAAAGACCGCAGTGTACGAGAAGCCAACCGACATTGAGGCAGTTTTAAACTACTCGTCTGCCCATCCGAGGTCGGTATTTGATAGTATTGCCTCATCAATGTTTAAGCGTGTAAGGGTCCTGTGTTTATCTCGACCTTATGTTCTGCTTGAACCCAAATCACACGAAATCAGACGAATGCACTCACTTGCGTACCAATTTAGTTTTCACGGATATGAAGAACACCATGAACGAGAGATTCGGTTGGGATTCAGGTAAGCCTCTCGTGAAAGCCACATTGGTGTGCAAGGGAGTGTGTGGGCCGAATAACCATGAATACTGCTTTACACTGAATGGACCACAAAACAATTCTTACTAGTGGGATTTCACAACACATTATCTTTTGAACAAAGTTGCAACAGTGACTGACTGGTTATCGTGACTATCCTGTTGCTCTTCTTGGCTAAGACGGTGGATGAGGGCTACTAGTCAACCTCGTGCTGATTTCTGGCAACTGGAACATGGTACTCCCCTATATTCTTCTCTGTCGATGACAGTATTCCCCATTACAACCTCGGTCGTGTCCTGGTCGCATTTCCGCACCTGGGTGTGCCTCTGAGGGAGAGGTTTCAGATGGATGGCGCACTTAGTTCTTCGAATCCCCGGTATGCACTTCGCTAGTGTTTGACCTGGCTTGCTGGATGAAATAGCGGAAGGTATAAAAGCATCCCTGAATCCCACTCACTTCGTTTTCGACTCAAGAACAAGGTTTAGTAATAGGATCCCCAATGGGATCCCCGATTTTGGAGATTATATTTCTAGAGGAATTTAAACAGAAAGCTCTAGGCGCATTCCCATACCCACCCAAGGTATTCTGGCGTTATGTGGATGACACCTTCGTCGTGATGAAACGAAACAAGGTTAGTGAGTTTTACAACTATCCGAATGAACTGAGTTCACACATCAAATTTAGTATGGAGATAGAGTCAATCTCGGGTAAAATGACCTTTTTAGACTGCATGACACGCAAGGTCGGAGGAAAACTAAAGACCGCAGTGTACGAGAAGCCAACCGACATTGAGGCAGTTTTAAACTACTCGTCTGCCCATCCGAGGTCGGTATTTGATAGTATTGCCTCATCAATGTTTAAGCGTGTAAGGGTCCTGTGTACAGAAGAAGTTGATCGGACAGCGGCCCAAACTGAAGTAAAGAATAAACTTCAGGGTAGTGGATATCCAACTAGTTAGGTTGATTAGTTTGATTAGGCGTCAATTATGAAGAGTGCTGGTACCGGCGGCGAAACCCAAACGAGAATGACTTGGGACGGCTGTTACTCCATATAAACTAGGGACATCGGAGATCCTTCGAATGATTCTAAACACGGCTAAAATAACAGTAGCTTTCCAGGGGGGGGGGCACCGCGCTGGTGCAAGTGAAGGATCGCCTCCCGGCATACAGGACTACGGACTGTGTCTACAAAATCAAGTGTAACGACTGCATTAAGGTCTACATAGGACAGACGCCAGGGAAATTTCACACCAGAATCGGAGAGCACAAGAGGAAAATAAACGCCGCCGAGAAACCCAGGTGAATATCGAGCACTACTAGAAGACTTGGAAACTGCAGAACATGAAATGGACACGGGACACAAAATAGATTTAGAAAATGTTGGTGTTTTGAGGCGAGGACTACTGTCCCCGTCACAGAGACTGGTGACCGATGCAGTAGAAATCGCCAGGCATCCCAGTGTTAACAGAATAGAAGGCGTGGAACTGGCAAGCGTGTGGAGAACGGTTTTGGATCAGTCGAGCTGACACGTGTTGGTGTGTGGCCATCAGAAGGAGTGGTCATCATCTGAATTCCACTTAACCTCACCCCCCCTTTCAACTAAATTGTCACAGCACTCACAACCCCACAAAGACCAACAAAATGTACCTGCGGCAACCGCGGTGAACCTTGAAGTGGGAGCTCAAGGAACCAAACCCGATCGGAACTAATTCGAAAATCTCCCATTAACACAATCTTTGACAACGACCCTAGCCGACAAGAGCTGTTAATTGACACTCAACACTGATCTAGTGTGATAATCCGAAGAGGTCCTACTGACTGGTTCTCCATCTGCCTTAAAACCTGGCCAATTTTGTGACTTGCTCACTTGGCCTGATGAAGCTTTTGTGTCAAAAACGAAACATTGCCCAAACAAAAACTACCGACTGTTTACCAAGCGCTTCTGAAATGATCGCTCGCATTCTGTTCAGGAAAGTCCTCAGCAAAATCCACTCTTTCTACTTTGCCGTTTCATTGCAGAGGGTGAGGTGCAGTGTGCGTTTTATCTGGCCATGGACACAGTCCACGTGAAATGGTACTCTCGAGAATGGCTCCACGGTCCGAGTTTATTGGTTCAGATCCCAGTGTGCCGTTTCATTGCAGAGGGTGAGGTGCAGTGTGCGTTTTATCTGGCCATGGACACAGTCCACGTGAAATGGTACTCTCGAGAATGGCTCCACGGTCCGAGTTTATTGGTTCATCAGGATCCCAGTGGGGAAAAAATATGTCGGCATCTGTCACGGTGTCTATACCTTACATCGTTTTCCAAAACGATCCATCATCAAAACAATGCTACGGTTCATCTTTGGGTATCTAAAGAGGGGACCGAAACTGCTGACACCCACGATTCCACATAAGTGGATGGTACTATTGGGTCCTAATGGGGCTTCATCCGTCTAGATAGAGGATTCTTTCCTCATAATTGTATTGCATTTAAGCACCCGCATTTACCTTTGATGTATTGCTATCAATAGTGATGATCGTGAGGTACGGTCCTTAAAACACCCCCACGAGTTTTGGAACATTGACACGTCATAATGTTGACGAGTTGACTAGAATTTCTCCCTGGTCGCCACTTCGGGTGTGCTGATTCCACAGAGACGCACAGTGTAGGTGCCTCAGGACCAGTGGAGCAAAACGATTTGGGTTATGTACTGGGGACCGTATTGGGAAAATAGGGGGTTTTCTTCCATGTAGATTCGGCCACTACATACCTCATGCCCAGTCCAGCCCAGCCCATCCTGAGAACAGCTGGCTGTAAATCAGCTGTATTTTGAGGCCCGTTTCTTGATGGTGCTTCCAAAAAAACCATGCGTTCCCCGATCAACTCCTACTTGCCCGTATTGCAAACCAAAGGATGTTCATTCGACTGAAAAACCAGCGGAGTACAGCTCTACTTCGAACGACTACCTAGCCCGCTTTGTAGGAAAAAACAGTCGGTTAGTAGCGCTTAAGCTGAAATTAACGCCAGTTGAGAAAATACACGCCTTCACTTGTTCGATCCTCAAAGGTAAGTCTGTGGCTGAATAGCTACCACATAGGTATTCAAACGACGTTTATATCATCCATTTTATAGGTCAGCTTCCGATCGGAACCAATTCTGAGCTACGACGAAAGAATAATCCATCGAGATTATCTACTATCAGCTTTTGTGTGTGCTCATTCGATCAGAACATTATGCTTTGGTCGCAAAACAAGCCGACTGATGCAATCCGTGAACACAACCCAGTTTGGCCAATTCGCGCCATAAAAAATGCCTAACTCTAGTATAATTATCGTGCACTTGATCGAATCTAGGCATACCCTCATTTCAACCGGAGATTTTCCACCGCTTGTCAGTTCCGAAGCGATATTCACCTTGCAGCGCAAACCTGACCTCTGCGCGCGGCCAGCAATCTATTAAGGGCCGCCAATCACATAATGCTTGCCACTGAACTGCATGTGACGACCAACAAGCAAATTATTGTCAAACAGAGTACTTTTCCTCACAAGTTATCTTGCAACTTCTTCTCTCAGTTTAGGTATGAAATGCTGCAAATGCCTGAGGACACAGAATTACTCTCTATCTCGTAAGTTCACAACCTGTAGCATTCATCCGGACATGCTAACAGAAGATTTGTGCTTTGTAGAGTGGCTCCCCCCCCCCAAAAAAAAAACCAACTTCCCAAGGGGCATAGGTTCAACG